ATACTGCCTAGAGTAATCGTCGACAATTTTTAAACGGAAAATATCAAAAGCAGACATGTAAAGAGAAAAGATCGAAGTTCTGAAGATCAAAGTAGGTCACTGACCTTAGATGAGTGTCCTTGATCTTTTGCTTAAAACATGTATATAGGGTCAAGGTGGTTGCATGAGATGGTCTGGGGCACTTCGAACACCAATCTGGAGTTTAACCATGTTTGACTTCATTCGACCCGAAGGTCAGGACCTAAGAACCCCAACTATTCTGACCCAGACCCACACACAAAGTCACTCACCTTGTGTGTGTGTGCTTGTGACGAAGATAAACACATGTAACACTGTGCACACGTGTTTATCAGCAACCTACGACGGGCGCGGCCGGCCCCGCGTGATGAGCGCCTCAATACAACAGCGCTGGACTGGCCCGTTTCATAAACGAAGAGCGTGCCAAAATGACTTTCCCCTGACTTCCGCTGCTCGACTCAGGGTAGAGTGGACTGGTATCATTTGGAAACCGTAACAGCAACTCACCATTCCCGCAGAAGATCCGCCGCTCGACGGCGGAGCGGTAGCGTCCTGAACAGCCGTGCCACCGTGCATGAACTGGCCCCGGCCCGCCAGCGGCTTCACAAGGCAAAGCATGCCGTCCGGTTTCGTGGTATGCCGAACGGACCAAGGCGATTTCGGCGCAGTGGTGGCTGCGGCGCAGTGTCGCCACGGAGTGATGCGGCTTGGATGGGCAGACGCGGGACAAGGCGGTGACACACAGTGGAGTGGCGCGAGGTGGTGCACCTCCTGACCCGGGACGGCGGCGGCCGGGGAAGCAGTGGCCTCACGGTGCTGAATTGGTCGGCGCCAATGACTTTGAGTCGTTGTCTGCAGTAGCAGTGAGTTATCACCGAAAGGCAGACAGCATGGAGACCGACGCGTTACTGTCGCAAGAAGCTGGGTCAGCATCTGAGTCGCAAAAACATCCCAATTACAAGTCAATGCCGTGTCAAGACAACATGAGCGTACCTCCTGGCGATGAAGACGAAAGCAGCGCTGTCCACCACGCATCTAAGGATAGCGCGATGACCACTGCTCAGAAGAAACTGCTTGCCTGTCTACTCTTAGTGAAAATCCTGGGCGGGTCGCTAGTAGCTGTCATGATCCCGTTCTTTCCTGTAGAGGCTGCTTCAAGGGGCGTGTCTCAAACGGTCATCAGTTGCCTATTCGGCTTCTTCGCGCTGGCAAATGTGATCTTGAGCCCGTTCGTTGGTCGGTTGGTGCCCCTCCTGGGCATCAACTGGCTCTACAACTCTGGCATCGCAATAGCTGGCATTTCCACCATCGCCTTCGGCACTCTAAGCTATATCAAGGACACGTTTACCTTCGTGGCGGCTTGCTTCTTGGTGAGACTGGTGGGAGCGGTGGGTTCGACATCTATTTCCATCTGTGGCCTTACCATCGTCAGCAGCCAGTTCTCCGACAAGGTGAACAGGGTCGTGGCGCTGCTGAACTCTGCTCTAACCATCGGCGTAGCCTTGACGCCGGCCATCTGGGGTGGCTTGTTCGCCCTCGGTGGCTTCGGCACACCCTTCTACACGCTTGGCGTCATCATGCTGCTGATGGCGGCCGTCAGCCAGCGCCTGATGCCGACCATCGAGCAGACCACCAGTGAATCTCAGACACATTTGCTGATATCTCTGCGACTGCTGGCCGGGTCGACGGGCAACTGGGTGTGCTTGATGACCGTGTTTATATATGCTGGAAATGTGAGCACAGTGGATTCTACCCTCGCTCCTTACGCCAATGATGTGCTCGGTGTTTCACCATCGCACGTTGGCTTGTTCTATCTCGTCAGTACGATGCTGTATGCCATCGTAAACTTTTTCTGGGGCTGGCTGGCCGACCGTGTGCGGAACCCTTTTGTGGTGATGTTTCCATGCCTGCTTCTTGCCAGCCTGGGAATCATGACGATCGCTCCCTCCACTTTGTTATCTTTAAAGCCTGCTTGGTGGATAACGGGTCTGGGTTTATCAGCCCTGGAGGTCTTTTCCGGCGGTGCATTAGCTCCTTGCTTTAAGACCATTTTGGACTCAAGTATTGAAAATGGCCTAGAGGACAGCCTTGGTACGAAGGCATTAGTTGCCAGCGTCTACCAAATGGGCTCCTCAATGGGAATAGCCGTCGGGCCATTGTGTGGGGGCGTCATCGTTGATAACTACGGATTTCCTTGGATGACAACTGTCCTGAGTTTTGTAACGGCAACTGTGGGTCTGTTGGCTGCCACCAAGGCTATTTCCGCCAGTTCGTGTAGAAACCGTGACGGGTGGTGCCAGCCCTGGCAACACCAACTGTCGTAACTGCCTCATGGATGCATTGTAATTGCTCATTATGTCGCATTTCTGGTTGATTACTACGCTTAGCCCTTTTTTCAGATACTTCAACTATTGCTGCATCTCGATGTTTGCGTTGGTACTCACCGAATGCAGTTAAGGTGTGGAGGTGCCTAGCATAGGTGGCAATGTTGAGCAAATATAATTTCTAGGGCTGAATGAATAGTTCAACATATCGCGATTGCTGACCAGAAGCTAGATTCCGAGTCGTCGGCGTTACATACAGTGCGAGCACTGTCGTTGTACGGGCTGAGATCATAAACACGGCCAAGGAAGAGCAGAGATTCCAGAGACGAGCCCTGTAGAAGATCCCGGTTAATCTATCGAGGGACGGAAACCTGTCGGATATTTGATGAGTTTGTAAACATCACCATTTACATGCTGATAGGTAGTGTTCGGACTAGCTGATGATGATGCAGCCATGCCTGCCATGCTGTAAGTTACTCGGACCGGTCAACCACATCAGGGTGTTTACTGAAGTAAATACAATAATGAAAGAAAGTTTTCCTCAGTCACAGCCGGTACATTTTTGTCTGATATCTTAGGGAAGGGAATTTCGGTGAACTGAAGCTATCGAAAAGCGTTTACTTTCGGACGAAAGAGATGGTTAAGCGATGCTTAGAGGTACACTTGTTTTTCAACAATCTTCTGAACCGTCTTGGTAATAAACAGAAAGGATAAGGATTGCACAGACCTTGGAGGGTTGTAAGCGTAACCGAACATTAAGATAAAGCCTACAATTGTGTTTTTCTATGATGCAGAAACTTTGTGCTGTGTGCGTTAGGTGTCTACCATGTACGAAAAAACACGCCCAATGTGGCTAGAACACGTATCCAAACAGTTCATGCACAGTTCTTCATTGACACAGAAGTGAACTTCGCCCACTTACAAATGGTGCTCGAAGTGTGGCGAACAGAAAGGCTGCGTAAGGAAGGCGATCATACAGATACGGGGACGGCCGGACCAGTAGGTTAAGAACGTCGCTGCGCTCGAAAACTTCGGCAATTATTGGGGTCTGAGCCGCAGGTCTGAGAGCTGGTATGAGCCCGGCCATAACACGGGTCTGAGCCCGGTTGTGACACGGGTCTGAGCCCGGCTCTGACACATGCCAGAGCCCCGGCCGTGACACGGGTCTGAGCCCCGGTCGTGACACGGGTCTGAGCCTCGGCTGTGACACGGGTCTGAGCCTGGTTCTGACATCGGTCTGAACCTCGGCTGTAACACGGGTCTGAACCTAGGCTCTGACACGGGTCTGAGCCCCGGCTGTGACACGGTCTGTGCCTGGATCTGACGCGAGTCTGAGCCTCGGCTGTGACACGGGTCTGAGCCTGGTTCTGACATGAGTCTGAGCCCGGCCATAACACAAGTCTGAGCCCGGCTGTGACACGGGTCTGAGCCCAGGCTGTGACACGGCACTGGGCCTGGTTCTGACATGGGTCTGAGCCTCGGCTGTAACACGGGTCTGAGCCTAGGCTGTAACGCAAGTCTGAGCCCCAGCTGTAACACAGGTCTGCGCCCAGCCGCGACACGGGTCTGAGCCCAGGCTGTGACACGGGACTGAGCCTGGTTCTGACATGGGTCTGAGCCTCGGCTGTAACACGGGTCTGAGCCTCGGCTGTAACACGGGTCTGAGCCTCGGCTGTAACACGGGTCTGAGTCCAGTCTGTCCGATCTCCGAGCCGCGGCTCAGCCAGCGGTAAAAGCACGGGGTGTTTCGGGAATAGGTGGCACTAGTCGATTGTGGGTCTCTCTGCCGGTAAAGAGGGCGTGTCGGTCATGCCCCGCTGGCATATTTTGAGGATGTGTCACCCACTTGTTGTCAATACTGGCGGAGTTAAACACCACCCTCCAGTCACATGGGACGAGGTCACGGGGGTATATCGTTGTATCGGTGCAGAGTAACAGTGTGGACCTCGGAACATTCGACTTCTGACACGCTCTGAGAATACCACACATTGATATAGATTTGATGAACCGAAATAAACGAGCTCAGTACAAGCGCATTCTACAAAATTTCAGCAGACAATAAATGTATGCAGAAACAAGGATACCAAGTCCGATGGACGAGCATCGGTGTGGGTAAGGGAGTCAGGCTCGGACATGGGGGCAAATCTCAACAAGCGACGTGGTTGACATGAGCAGCCATCATGTGTGATTTTTGCTTCACGACGTGCTCTTGCCTGCGTCTCATCCTGGCAAGAAGGACGAACATCGCAGGGAATCGAACTCCTTGCCTCTGGCTTCCCAGATGTGCGACTTCGTTGTTGTTACCCCTAGGAGCCAGTATGTTACAGTTCCATCATTGGTGATGGCACAAGCTGTAGCTTGCACAAGCTGTATAGCTACTACGAACGTGCTAGCGTCACGGATATCACGGATCACAGGTCAAACGGCCCGTCACCTACGCGACCGAACTGACCCTGGGTCTTGTGACCAATCCAACCTGGGATCTCTGTGACCCATCTGATCCGTATCCCCTGTGACCCATTTGACCCGTGACTCCTGACTGATCTGTGGCACCTGTGACCCATCTGACCTGGGACCACCTTGAACAATCTAGCCATCTTGCCCGGTGACCTTATTGGCTCATGCGACCCAACTGACCGATGACCTCTGTGCCTGCAGACGCCGTTCAACAGCCGCCTCATTCCGGATTGGCTTTGGCCCCGCTCTGACAAGTTTGACGTGTTCGCGCACCACACGCGGCTGCACGTGGCCGAGACGCGCCGCGTGATGCAAGATCACGCTGCGTGGGTCACGATTCTGCGCGATCCCGTGGCACAGTTCGAGTCGGCCTTCGACTACTACCACTTCTCGATTGCGCAACACTGGAATATGACGCTGAGACAATTCATCGCCCTGCCGCTGGAGAGGAAGCAGGCCCTGGGGAGAATCGGCTATGGGTGAGAGGTCATAAGGGTGAGAGGGCACGAGGGCAGTTCGGGATTGGGGTAGGCCCAGCACAGGATGTTCTTGTTTTCAATGGTGAGCCTAGCACTTGGAAATTGCTCAGAAATGAATCTGAAGCGGAGGGGGGTAAACAGAGGTTCCGTTCTTGCTTCGCTGTTTTGATCGTCAGGGCCCCGTTCCCTATCCTGTGGATCTGGCGGGCAGTGGGAACTAAAATAGCACTGGCATGCCCGTCCAGCTGCCATGTTTGGCCCGTGGAGCTTTGGCCCAACTCCAGCTGCGGCACTGCTCGTTCCCAAAACAGACGAGACGCGGTTATTATGACAGGAAGCGTCGACCCTGACGTTATACTGAGTTAAAGGACACTCACGGCTACAGGCTCAATGCAACGTAATCTACGGTATAAGATAATACAAGTGGTTAAGTATAATTTCATTCCTTGTTTATCCTTTGTTTGTTTCGTCTACACATTGTGACCGTCGTTGCCTCTCTCGACATGCGTGCTGTTCGCCACGTTACCCTGCCACTGCCAGCCTTGCTGACCTACGCGCCCCCGCCACAGGCGCTTCGGCGGCAACCAGATGGCGTTTGACCTCGGATACGACCCAGCCATCGTCAGCGAGCCGCGCCTCGTGCAGGCCATGCTCGACGACCTGGACAAGGCCTTCGACCTGGTGATGATAGCCGAGATGATGGACGAGTCGCTGGTGCTGCTGCGCCAGCTGATGTGCTGGTCGATCGACGACGTCACCTACTTCACCAAGAACGCGCGCTTCGACTCGCTGCGTACCCCGCTGAGTGGCGCCGACCGCGCGGCGCTGGAGAAGTTCCTGGAGCTGGACATGATTCTGTACCGCCACTTTCGGCAGCGGCTGGCCCAGCAGATCGCCGCCGTGCCAATCGCCACGTTCCTGGCGCACACGGAGGCGCTCGTGGCGCGCCGCCTGCACTACAGGCAGCACTGCGTGGCCTCCGAGGCCAAGGGCAGCGAGCTGCAAGGGCAGCAGCACGAGATCACCGACCAGGTCAAGGGCTACCGGCTGATAAACTATTCCGACTGGATGTGCTCCCGCCTCGGCATGGCGGAGATCGGGTACACGGACCTCCTCCGCGACGGCCAGCGCCAGCGGATGGCCATCTGGCGCCGTTAACTGTACAGTGCCTAACGGTTTCCTGTGTTGCATTTGTCTCGTTTTACATGGGTGTCAGTCAATGACTGATGACTTTTAACATGTGGCCTTGTTACGCGATTGCGGAGCGCTTCCCACAGCTTACATGAAAGTGCTGTTTTGTGATACGTTGTCGAAACCATGTGATATATATATATATATATATATATATATATATATATACATGCATGTATATATGGTCACATTCTTGTAAAATTGCTGCTTACGGGTATCTTCTCGGAATCTGAAATGAAGTCATGCAGAGCATCAGACTACATAAGCGTAGTTTTGTTCCCCGCGTGGCCTTCAGGGGCACACTGTCCTGCGTCAAAGGTGTGCGGCAGTTCGGCCGAAGCAGTCATCTTTCGCGCGGACATAGCTGATGTCCCGCGTTGATCAACATAACACAATGGTAGTCTAGTGTTGTTGTGCAGTTAAAGGCTGGCCTGAAAACGGGACTGATTCGAGCTCCTTCGTAGTCAATGCCTCACGGATGGCATGTCAATGCTGGAAGCCTTCGGGGAGAGTGTGTAGTTCATGCTTGGCGCCAGCTGCTCATGAAAATACACCCTGTACTGCAGCAGCGTGTCTTGCATGGAAAGCGTGGTGTTCAATAACAGACAAACATTGAGTTTTGCCGCCCTGGAGGGGAGCCGTGCGCACCAACTCCATGCCTTGCACGTATGCGTTGACAGATGCGTTGTTCAATATGGATGCTTAAATAGGTTTATTTTCGGGTGGGAGCTGCCGCTATGCTGTAAACATTTTGCGCAGTGATGTCATGCCAGACGTGCCAAACGTCAGTGCTGTGTTAATCGAAACATCAGCGGCGAATTGTTAATGGCCTTGAGTGGTATTGATTTACCCGCTCATTGCCCATTTCTACGGAATTCGCGGGCATCGTGGAAATTTGCAGTGTTTCGGTTTTCAAATGTTTTTGCGTATGGTGCAGGTCTTCACCGCAACATTAATATGCGCATTCAAGCACAACAAGGGCAAGTGCCCACGAAACGATGAAGCTGCCGCAGTAAAAAACAAACAAAGAAACAAACAAACAAACGAACAAACAAACAAACAAAAAGCGCAAAATGCCCCATTTAGAACTCAGCGACATTTTGTCATTTGACCGGACCGTGGAGAATGTGTGACGTCACGCTTAATTAACTGACGGCTGGAACAATCACTGTTCCTGAAAGCATACAGTTCACAAAAGGAACATCTCTTCATTTTGTAAGCGCAAAAGACAAAGAGTTGGAGCAAGAGGAGGTTACATATCGGTTTTTTCCTTACAGGTACATTTTTAGTGTAATGACTGTAGCATTATCCGTATGAAATTATGTTCTGCAAATGCAGCGGTGTGACGTCCTGGTTCATTAAGGTCAGCCCACTTTTGCTACATACACTTAATCCCAGTACCAAGAACGAGAATGACACCGTTTTCGGCGCGGACAGTCGATTGCTATCACTGTGTGTGTTAGAACAAAATATAAATAGAATGCAGCCCTTCTCTTTTGGAATCAAATGGTTTTGGATACCCTTCTTTCAAAAATTTGGCGGGCAAAAGTGCACTGATGATTAGCGACCGCGTGCAAATTCGCAAACAGCTTAGCATAGCCGTCATGCATTGAGATCGGTTTAAGAAAAATAGGCATTTGCCGGTTCCCGGCTTCTTACTGGAACTCCGTGGGACGAAAAGTTTGTGATATAAAGAGCTGCAGTTAGTTCTTTCCCATACCCTGTGCATTTGTTTCACGTCTTCGTTTTCTCTATACTGAAAAATTGCTCTCCACGGCGTTTTTAACAGGCGAACGGGTGACCGATTAAATGCAACACGTTTGAGTGGAGGTGGGGGTTAAATGGATGACCAGAGACTTCAAAAACCAGAGAGTGAGACATAAAAAGTTCAGAGGGTACCTATGGTTCTATGTGAACTCGTGTATGTCAAGTTTTGAAGACTTTGGGTCATAACCTTTGGGTGAAATAAGGTAAAAAGTCCAAACTCCAGATCGGTGTCAGAAGTGCTGTCTTCTCATTAAATCCGTTTTAACACAGACAACATTCCTGTATAAGCATAGACAGCACTTCACCATGTCAGGGCAGGAGCATTCAAGAGATCAAAACGACTAAAATCCCGAAAATTAGCTTGACATTTAAACTTGACATCTGCGTTACGAGCTACGTTAGGCAGTATGTTTCTAAAAGCCAAGGTTGATCACGGCCATTTTAGGTCAGCGGCCTACTCTGCCCACCATCAAATCAAAATCAGATGCCTATTTATGTGCCTGTGATCAAGAAATTCCAATAGGTGTGAAAACTGCCACTTAAGGCAAGTTTCCCCAGTCATAAAAATGGTTCTTCAAGCTATCTGACCCAACGGCAATGTTATCAGACACGTCACTAATTAAAGTGATCGAATCGTCCAAGAACCGTTCTCAAAGTTACGTGAGTTTCAACTTTGTGTTTGAACACTCCGTTGTCGCAGCCGAATAGATGAATCCTTTTCTTCCGTAAATTCCTTCGCTGGTATCCAAGGCCTAATTTTGACCTGCTATAGGTCAATGACACTATAAGGTATATCTAATTTGCACACCCAAGTATCGGCTGTTCGATTATCTTAACAAAATAATGTTGGGCGCAGCTACGCCACGCTCTTCGAAAGCAATTCTGGAAAAACCTTCGAGGAAGCTGGGCCGGGGCGGGGGGGGGGGGAAGCCTCCATGACACCTCTGAATGGATCCTCTCACCGACACCCATCACATGTCTCCATGTCGCTATGGAATTATGGCTTACGACGCACCCAGCTGCTGACGCAAAGCATGGCCTTCCTCTCATTCTGACAGGAATGGTGGGCACCACAGAAAACAGCTCCCTTGCTTGCCCTATTCGTTTTAGCAAATAAAATTAGTTGCACTTTCTTTACCCATTAAGTCAGATTTTTCATTATGATCAATCCATTTAGCTTCGCAATAGGGGTATAGCAGGAACTAGGGCATGTCGTGAAGGGATTTCTTTTCGAGGAACCAAGATGGCATGCCATATTTTTTCGGGGCAAGTGTAAAAACAGCCGTAGTTGCGGCAATTTCCTTCTTTGAGTACCTCATGTATCAAGTTCTTCCCTTCACTTCCTACATTAGCTAAAGGGAATCATCAAATTTTTCATTAAACATTTTTGTTTTATATCATCGGAGTCGGAGCCCAGCAAAGTGCATTTGGTGCCTAAATTGTCCTGTTTTTACAACAAAAAATCCGCGTCCAGGCGCAGTAACTCCGGAGAGGCTTCATTCGCATTCAAAACGCATTCGGGCTGTCGACGCCAGACGGCACCCCGGCCCAGTGGGTCCAATGTTTAGGAGTGCGAGGAGACGGGTGTGCAATGTAGTACCGCCGGCGATAGATATGGTTGTAATTGTAATTCCCGCGATTGGCCGACAGGAAGGGAAAGGGGGCATTGTGCGCTGCCCTCGGCACTGGCCTATCAGTATGCGAGTTGGGGTAAGGGAGGGGGCATCCAAAATCATTGCAAACAAATGCCGGTACACATAAGTGTGACCACGTCTCTAAAACTGGGGACAAAACAGGATGAAGTGGTCAAACTGGAATCTGGTGCGAAGCATGACCCAAAAATTACATAATGAAAGTTGAAACGTAAACAACATGCATTCGCCGTGAAAAATGGGAGGGGACAAAATCCCATTCTGGAAAAATTTGGGAAAATGACCGCAGACCTGAAGTGGGTCAGTCCAAACCAGTACGTCGACCGACCAAGCACAATTTTGACGTCAAATTCGCCTGTGTCCAGCCTTGTGAGTGGCCGATCCCTGCGAGACCTGACTGTGCCCAGCCTTGTGAGTGGCCGATCCCTGCGAGAGCTGGCTGTGTCCAGCCTTGTGAGTGGCCGATCCCTGCGAGAGCTGGCTGTGTCCAGCCTTGTGAGTGGCCGATCCCTGTGAGAGCTGGCTGTGCCCAGCCTTGTGAGTGGCCGATCCCTGCGAGAGCTGGCTGTGTCCAGCCTTGTGAGTGGCCGATCCCTGCGAGAGCTGGCTGATGGCCTGTCCCAAACTGCGCGCGCAGCCGACCGTATGGGTCCAGACGGGTGCCTAACGGCGTTTGTGATGGTTTCCAGATGGATATCGGGTGTATGGGGGAAGATGAACGATTTGCGGTCGCTTCCCGGGAAAATATGGCGGACTAGTTGCGCAGCATGACAAGAGACTGGCGAATGAGTAAGCATGGTATTGGCTAGGGGACGCGCGGTTTTCTTTGTTTATTGATTTTGTTTACAGCATCAGAAGAGCGATTTTAAAACACCTAGGACGGAGCGATATGACTTAAATCAAACCACCTACTAGAGGTGGGAATGGTTCGGTTCGCCTTTTCCGCCCGTTATTAGGTCTTGGCTGGCGTACACTGGGACCAGTAGCAGTCGTTTGACGTTGGAGGGTTCTACCCTCATGAGAACAGTGCTCGTGCCAAGCGCTGCGGCAAGTAAAGCTGTCGCCGCAAATTCTACCGCTGACCCGGAGTTCCACGATCGCATGGTGGCGTCAAGGGCTCACGCGTCAAGCAACACCTATCGAGGAGCAAGGATCACTTTTCTCCCACTATCGGAGTAAGTTATGACACATCGCTGGCATACCGTACTAGCGCGATGCCGTGCCGGCGGGTAACCGGACACAAATTCGGAAGCCAAGAAGGCGGAGCACAGAAGGCCAACTGCAATAAAGTTATGTGCATAAAGTAAAAAAGTCCAAAGCACACAAAGTCAACTAACAAATCGTCAAAAAGATAAAAGTCAAATGCAAAACGTCAAATAGGCATGACGGTAAAAGGGAGAAAAGTCGATTGGCTAGAAATCAGACGGCAAAAAGCCAAAGGATCACCAAGTCAAATAGCAAAACGTCCAATGCTTAGAAGTGAAAAGATGAAAAGCCAGCTTAAAAGTGAAAGATAACGGTAAAATGCAAAATGTCACAGAGGTGAAAGGCAAAAAAGGAAAAGAACTACGTAAACAATAGTCTTTCCACTTGTCTCCCACTTCGCCTTGTAGCTTCCACAACTTGCATGAGTAAAAGGGAAAATGTGAGTCTAAGAAATGCAATTCAAAATGAAAGA